CAGTACATATGGGAGGGAGTAAACAAACTGCCTTAAAATTCAAAACGTGAAAGATGTCCCGAAACTCCCTTGAAGTGCCTTGGAATAAACCAGCAGTGGACGACGGATGAATTGTTTGCTTTAAATTCTGCGCGAATACCATAACCTTTTTTGGATAAGAAAAATCTGCGTTTAACACAACTTAAATCAAAACTCAGTGGTAGAAAGTGCCGGTGGCTTTATTTTCTTTGTTTACTTAGGTTGCACTTGCCTTACTGTGAACAGTAAGCTGATTTTTTAAAAGGTGATTGCAAGTCATATTTTGTACAGCGTTTTACTTGATTATTTGCTCTGTTCTGGATTTGTACGATACTGCCATTAGATCTTACAATAATGTTCTACTCTGCAAATTTTTAAGGTTCAAATAAAGTTTAATTGTTTGCAAACTGTTATGATGCTAATAATTCAACAGCCTGCTGTGTTACTAATGAAATTACTTTGTTATGATTAATTTGGAAAATAGTGTGTTGATTGTAGTAATTAAGCACAACAAGGTGAAGTAAATGATTCTAATGCCATCTGGCCTCCAGACTGAATGAAGAAATGAAATGGGGCTGTCATTTGAATTTATTCAGAGAAGTAAGGGTAATACAAATGCTTTTTATAGCAGAGGCACTGGATATAATCATGCCACTCTAGTATTTTTTCGTGTACTTCTATACACAGATAACTGGTTCACGTAGTTTTCCATCATCTAGTCAGGAGGTACCTCTTTGTGCGTACCACCGCTAATTACGTGTACTGATGGTAGTGTGTGCGCCAGTTCTTCCATCAGAGAGATGTATGGATAAGATCTAGAGACATGATATGCATCGGCTTACCTTTTGCTCCTCTGTTAATGGTAAAAACTTTCTTTGACTGGAATTAAGCTGAGTGTGAATGCTAATTAAGATCCCATTCTATATTCAAAGCCAAATGCTGCATAAACTTTGTTCTTTTTGGCTCTGCAGTCTGAGTATGACACAGCATTAGAAGGAGCATAAAGAATAACCCTTTAGAACCTGATCCAAAGGCTGCTGAAACTGAGAAGCTATTGAATTCGCTTGCTTCTGCATCAGGCTCTCGGAACAGTACCTCAAAAACAGGCAATATAATTTCCAAGTGCCTTCTGCTGAATACTCTTTGTCCTCTTTCTGAAAGAGGAGCAATTATTTCCGTAAGCTGAACTAAACAAAAGAAAGGTACCGACTTCTCGATAAAAAAGAGAAAAGAAATAGAAATCCATTTTTCTATCTCAGGTAAAGCAAAACGAAGTTGTGGCTGTAGATCAGAGTCCTGGCTTGGTAAAGTGCACTGGGATCTGTAGGAAAGCTGTAAGATACTAAAACATGTGATGAAAGTACCCAGGTAGATGACGATGGCGTGCTCTTCAGCTGCATGAGCCATTTGATGTTTCTCTCATCTCTCAAGTTGATGAAAAAATTTTTGGTATGTAACTGTGGGAATAAGCGCATGCATGGAAACCTTATAAACAACTTTCCACTCTACATAGCACAATGTACTGATAAACGGTAAGACCTTCACTTACCAGGGTTTCTCCGAAGCTGACATTTCTCAGACAAGTGTCTGCTTAATTCCATCTTTATTTAGAAAAACTGACACTGAGCTCAGTGCAGAGTGCTCTGCCAAATCTGCATCTCTTTCAGAGTTCATCTCCCGCCCAGCGTCCTGTGCCTTACTGCCAGGGACTAGCCCCAACCAACTGCAGACTATGGACTTAAAATCGTGGATTCCAGCTGGGTGCAAGCACAGTATTTCATGCTTCTGGGATGAAATTGTGGCTTGGCTGATCTCTCTTTGCTACAGGAAAAAGTAAAGGGGGGGCCAAGATGGTGACAGGGTGTGCAGGTCAAAGGGATGCCGCTTTTCTTATCCAACTGGGTTGTGCCAAGGAATATATATATATATTTTCCCTTTAAATTGTAAAGCAGATCAGGCAGTGATAAGCCATGAGTTGTTATATCATAGCCTTGTATGGTTTTGTTTAGGAGCGATTTTGTAATGGGATCTAGACAATTCTGTTTCCCCTGCTTGGAATTTTCCTTGGTCCAAACAACCACACAGAGAAATTCACAGGGAGCTGGATTCAAAGCAGAAGAAAAACCTCTGCACCTGAAAGCTATGCCAACGCGAGTCAAATTTAAAACTGGAAATATCAGCTTCTTCCCAGCCTTTTGGGAGTAACAAGTCTTTTAATTAACAGGAACAACTTAAAAATCCAAGGTGTCATCTTGTAGCAGTGTGTGGGAGAATAAAGTACAACAGTGGAGGCCGTCTGAGAAGAAGAGCTGCTGGTAGATGAAGAGGCAGATAGTTTCAAATGCCACTAAAACCCGATCTATCTCTATTAATTTTCTGCTGTAGCAAACTGATGTGTTGGAGCTTTTATCCTAAAGTAGCCTCAGCATCTCACAACCCATAGAACAAACTTCCTTTCACCCTCTATTGTAAAGCAAATGCTACTCCACAGAGGTATTCAATGGCTAATGAGCATTTTACAGCAAGACTTTAAAGTTTATGCTGGGACATGAAAAAAAAATAAATTCTATGTTCAGTTACAACGGGAGGATTTATGCTGGCAGAATAGAATTACCACTTCGGCCACTTCCAGCCTGCTGTAATTGCTTGCGTATTTGTAAATAGTGCCATGGGATTTTTAACGGCCACAGGCAATCGGGATTTTAGTTTTACACCTTATGCTATGAAACAGGGTGCACAGCACCACAGAACCGACCCCCGTGCAGAACTGCCTGGGTTAAAGGGAAAAAAAAAATACTACGCAGGATCATTATCAATCTTTGAAACGCCAGCAGCATGGAAGTGTGCCTTGGCAGTCTCCCACCCAAGAACTGACATGGCCCAATGCTGCTTTTTAATAGTCAAATCTAATAGGGTCAGCGTGAGAAAAGCGGAGTGCAGACAGTCTGACAGGCGTGGGCAACTCAGTTTATTCACTGGCGGTCTTCAGCCTCTGAGACTTATTTCAGTTTGGAAGGGGAAAAAATGCAAACTGTAAACAGTCGTGTGGCATCAGGGAGGCAGAGGGACCTTCTTCCTTTCCTGCTGCTCTCTTCCGAGAGCACTGTCATTCTTTCCTTATCTTTAAATTAAAAGCAGCCAGGCATGAATGCACATGGATGTGTGGGAAGGAGTGGGTTTTATTATATGCTCACTTACAATCATGTTTTGATGCTGGTTTCTCCTTTCTAAAAGATGTTTATGTTTGCATGCTCGTAATAGCCACACTACCTTTGCTATAGAAAAATGGTATTTCTAGCTTTTTAAAAAATTCTATTTCCAGTTGTTTAAAGGTTCTATTCTAGTAACTCTCTTGTCCTACATTTCCCATTGTGATAGTACTCTTAGTGCATTATGTCAGGTGTCTCTTATTAAAATCTGTGTGTCTTTTGGGACACTAATTTTTGTTTGCCTGTACTGATAAAATACTCCATGCTCATTTTTTGCAACATCTTTTTGCCCTATTTTCAAGCTAATTTTGGACTTAGTTTTAAGGTATTAGACAACAAGGGAGGGGGGGGGAGCAGGTAATCTATGCACCTAGATTTCCATTACTTAACAAAAAAAAGCAGGCAATCCGTATTACCAACTATGAGAACTGGTTTGGAAGGTCTATAAGCTACCCGGCTTCCTATCCATTCATTCTTTTCTGCTTCTGAGACTGGCACATTACAGCTGATGTGGGTACTTAACCACTTCTAGGCTGAGATTACCTATTCAGCTACTTACTGCCTTCTGATAGCCACCCAAGGTCACCTATAGGTCATTATCGACTTGTGACCAGAATTGCCTTCCCTCTAATGTATCTGGCACTGCTTTGAAGGCAGTGTTCAGGAAACATGCATCTTCTCTCACAGGCTTTGTAAATTTTTGGAAGATGAGTGAAACTTCAAAATGCAGAGGCGTCATCCAAAACATCTCTCACTAGGCCATGTTTATGACTTGCATGTCTGTAATTACTCTGTCTTCACTGTACTCCTGCATCCATTTACTTCCACAAAATGATGCAGAGGAGAATGTGTACCATGAGGCGTCTTCCTGAAACATCAGATTTTTACAGAATTGGGTCACATTGATGTTTCAGGTGCAGGCCACGGAACAGCCTGCCTGAGAGTGTGAATAGGCTGCCCAGGGGGGTTGTGGAGTGTCCTTCTCTGGAGATATTCAAAACCCGCCTGGATGATGTCCTGTGCAACCTGCTCTAGGTGAACCTGCTTTAGCAGGAGGGTTGGACTATATGATCTCCCGAGGTCACTTCCAACCCCTGCCATTCTGTGATTCTGTGATTCTGTGGTCTGTGTCAGACTTAGGCAAGCAGTAGAGAATGAAGACCTGCGTGGCTGGCCCTTTCTTGAAAACTGATCCTTTACGATCTACATTCAATATTATCGTGGGCCCTTTGGCTGCAGTGTTGCTACTGAACGTCTCTAATAAATTCAGTGAGCTAGCAATTTATGCAGGTGTTTGTCCATCAGGTGAGGTTCAGGGTTTTGAATTCTAGCCTGATGTGACAGAAAGGCCATGTACGTTCCCATTTACATGTCCTCAGACAAGCTGGTGATTCCAAGAAGCATATGTGGACCACAAAGGGATTTCATCATGACCATTTCATTAAACGGTAAAGAT